CCATAATTCAAAATAATCTATTCTTCAGCGCTCGACTTTCCTTATAGTCCAACTCTCGCAGCCATACAGTACTACTGGGAATACCATTGCTTTGACCATGCGGACTTTTGTTGGCAGGGTGATGTCTCTACTTTTTATTATGCTTCTAGGTTTTCTCCCAAGGAGTAGGCATCTTTTAATTTCATGGCTTCCTAAAGGACCATTAATTGTCCATCTTCCTAAGTGCCCTCTGGTGTTTGGAATCTTCCTTCTACTGTATCTTAAAACTAAAATTTATTTTCAGTCTCTTTCATAACACCTAAATGTAACATTTGCAGAACAAAGGGGTTCTTGCAAAGACTATAACGCTGTTCTCTGTAAACAGGTGGGTTACCTGTAACCATTACCATCACTGACGTTCTAACTTGCAACATTCAAAAATGTCCCTGCCAGTTCAGTTCTGCTGATGGCTTGCTTAAGCTATTGTCTTCTTTGAACTAAATAAAACCCTTTGAAAATCCTTAGTGTCCCTACATAACTTTAAAGAAATCACATTAGATGCTGTACGTATATAAAATCAGTATGGCATTAATCACTTATTTAAATCAGCATATGTATTATAAAACCATTAGTGATCAATCTTGGCCTTAAACATTTTGATTATATATCAGTTTCCCTTTAAAAACCCAGTTTACAAAGAAAGAGAGAAAAAGAGCTTTTTCTAAAACCATGTTTGAATTCTATAAGCCTTCTTCTTGTAGCTTGTTGCAATTAGGCAGCTTTACTTCAGCAGCCTCTGTGCACTGAGAGGCATAGAGGAATATGACTTTGGTATTAGACAGTTTAGCTTCAAGTCTTTTGATTTTAGGCCGCTACAGTTCCGCTAAACTTAAAATTTTGTAACTATAAGCAAACAAATACCTAAAAAAAAACCCTTTTAAAATATTATTAAATCCACCGCTATATGCATTAGCCCATTAGAACCCATAGCTGGGGGTCCTCTTTCAAAACAGCTCAAATTTGAAGTTGTTCCATTCTCTCTATGTGTATTTTGGTAGCGTCCTTCAGACAGCGATCTGGTCTCTTACAATTTTCTCCTTATAAAATTATCTCCCTGAATCCCTTTGTAGCTAAGTTTATTCTACTAAGGGAAGGGGCGGGGGGACCACTTGTCCACTTTAAACACAGCTACTTGGGCCTATATTCCTTATGAATTTCAAAGCCATTGATGTTAGCTAAGCAAAATTAGCATTAATATATACAGGCCTCTGGGCCTAGCCCACAACACTAAAGGCCAGCGTGTATGGAAACAGATATGGCACATGAGATTCTTTGCCACCCAGGTCACTATTTGGGTCGTTCATCTGACTGCTGCCTTTAGAGTGGGATGATTGCTTCTCTGACTGGATTGCCAGTTTCCTCTTGAGCATATGCTCATCCTAGGACTGCTCATTCCACTACAGGCCTGGCTACTTGAGTCTCAGGGTACTCCATCTCGGGAAAGGCAATTCACTCCCTGGTACCATTTTGGTTTATCCCTGCAATCTGACTTTGGTGGAATGTTTTGCTTTGAGGCCTTGTGACATCCTAGGCCTCCAGGACACCCTGAGAGTAAACAAGCCTCTACTATTGTCCTTCTGCCCCTTTCCTGTTCTTCATAGCAGCACATCCCCACACAGATCGGGTGGGTTGTGAGTGGGGCAGGAGGAGGCATCAAACTCCAGTCATGCTTTTGGAACCCCAGAGATTAAGTGAGCACAGCACCAACACCATTGGACAGATCCCCCACCACTGCAGATCAAGAATACCAATTGTTCCTGACTGCTGGGGTGTCATACTCCATCAGCGGCTTTGCCTACAGCTGCTTTCTAGATGACTGCTATATGTTCCGTACTAGTAATCACTAAGTGTGACATTTTGGGAGGGGGAGGGACAAATGGTTTGGCCATTCTAATTGCCTGTCTGAAGAATAGCAGCCAAATTTTGGAAGAGGGTTTTTTTTGGTGGGTTCTATTTTTTACCAGGAATAGGAGGGAGAAGTTGGTGGCCAGGTCCCTCCTCCCAAGGACAAGACTCTGTCTCTAAGGCCAAGGTCAAATCAGGTCAGTTTACTGAACTGCAGAGATACTGGTTTCAAGGGGTATTCAAAGCCATCCCAACTCACTCTGCTTAGTGGTGTGAACCAATTTCCCCAGGCAACCTGACCAGCTTTCTGATGCATATTGGGAAATAATATACATATGTACTAGAGACATAATCCTGAAATGAATTCATCTAGTTCACAGTGCACGCAGAGCATGAGAAGCACAAATCTCTGGGATTTCATTCCAGCTGGATTCTGGGGGGAAACACCTATGCCTAGCAGGCCACTAAAGAGAGGAGAAAAGTTTTGAGAAACATATTTTCCCAACCTGATCTAAGAAAACATGATAAAGTGTGATTATCTCCTCTGTAATTATCAACATTCTTGGGATTACTTCATGTCAGAGTCCCCAAGGTGTTTAAACCATAATCAGAAGAAAAAAAAGACCTACAAGATTATACTAGAAATACAGCCTTTCATGCTGAAAGCTGCTGGAAAGGCAGGGTTCTCTCACTCTGAACTATGCTATGTGAAAGCAAATGCATGAGATCATGCTGGTCAAATTGCTTCAAATTGGAATGACTGCAATAGTCACATGAGATGACAGAAATTGATTGCAAAATGGTATCACGCATGGTGTTGGTTCAAATGTTGCTCTGTCCATCCGTGTGCAAGGTTCACGCTGCTAAATGCACCATCGGAGAACCCCTCTCATGTCTTTTAAAATATTATGAAGGAGATGTCTTCATTGGGGGAATTAGTTCCATTATCACTGCTACGTCAGAAATCATGGATTTCAAAGAGCCACCCAATTATATGGCATATGATATGCCCTTGTAAGGACTTTTCCCCCTCCCGTATCTATTATCTTTGCATATTATGTTATGTGATTTCAAAGATGATGGCTTTCTGGGAACTGTCCAATTATGTGTCATATGTGATGCGAGATGTGAGGAGGACTTTCTCCCCACTTATGCCTATTAACTGGGCATATCATGATAGAAGCTGACAAGTTGCTCACACTGCGTATAATTCTAGGAATATAAAGATGAAATTTAAATTTGCCGCCCTCTTTCCATCTTGTTTTTCTTTAGGGAAGAGAGGGACACTGACTATAGTTCACCATGACCCTATATGGAAAGCAAAATCTTTTTAGGTTTTTAGGTTATGTTGTAATAGAAAACACATTACTTATCAGAAGATAGCCATTGGTTGCAGATAAGAATGAAAATGGCACCTTAGTAGATAGAGTACTTGAATCTAGGTTGTACCCATTCCCACACGGCTAGAATGCTCACTGAATTGAATAGAAATCCTTGGTATTTCCAATTAGCAGTTCAAGGGTAATAGTTATGAGGCCATGGGTATTTTAAGTATTTTTCCCCCAGTTTCCATGGGACATTAGAGTTTAATTACATTATAGAGTATCAGAGCACTGACTGTCTAGTGAGAATATAGAATCACCTAAAATATGCAGAAACAATATCTGGATTAGAAAGGGTTGAATTTCAAATGAGTTGGAGTTGAGAGATTCTGATTATTGCTTGAATCAATCCATTTTACTGCTACCACAGACAATAGTAAGATAAGAGTAATAAGCATCACACACAATAATATCATGCCAATTTTGTTTAGTTGCTCTTTGAATTTTGTTATAGTGCATGTACTAATTATTATCAACATGTCTTGACTATGGTATTGGCTGTGAACGAAATCAGTGAAAACCACCAGATCTTCCCCAATGTCATTCTGAGCTTCCACATCTATGAAACCTACTTCAATGCAAGAAAGACTTATTGGCTACTAAGGCATGGATTCACACCATTAAATTTTGGTTACAACTCCACTTCAACTCTGACCCCTAATCTGTCAATTCTATTTGGCTATCTCACATCGAAGCCAAAATATGTTCCTTGAATTTATCCTTAGTATCCTTATTGTTGCTTTCTGAGTCTGATGCTGTTTAAAAAATGAAATCTAGTTTATTTGATTCAGAGTTGCAAATTCTCTATATCCTGGCTAACAGTACCTGTCCTCCCTTAAACTTAGGGATTGTTCCAAATGCAAACCTTCCAGCTGTATACCTCTATCAACTCATAGCTCCAAATTTGCACAGAGCCATCTCCTTGGCCGAATTTAATGTTATTCCTTCCGCTGTTCTATCTGGTAGATTCCAGGATAGGTATATTCCCTATCCTGGCAGGTGCTGTCCCTGTAATGAAGGACTGTGTCAAAACTGTCCTCCATGATCTCTTTCAGTGTCCCCTTTCTCTGGTATCCCATCAGGATCTTCTGTATCCCATATTAGCCCAAATTTAGAGACCTCTGATAATTTTAAGGTTCTTTTCTTGTTTGATAATCCAGATACGGAAATAACTGAAATAGTAGCAAAGTTTCTTCTCTGTGCTATGGTTACACATCTTGATAAATAATAGGTTTCTTTATGCTTTTACTCTGTTTTCGTATGCTGTAATTCTAATTTTATTTATATGGTTTTGTATTTTCTGATCTGCAATTAGTCTGACTCCCTACTGTATGTATTTATATATGCCAATACAGTTCTTGTCTTAAAAAAAGATGTATTATACAAAAATAGAACTTCTCTCTACAAAGAATAGATTTATCTCCAACTTCAATATTTCTTCTGCAGTAACTGCATTAGAGTCTCACAGTGATCACTCTCTAATGGAATATTGAAAGACTAGAGAATCACCTAAAATACACAAAAAGAATTTTTGAATGAAAGATTGCAATTTAAATTGAACAAAGTTTAGAAAATCTCATTATAACTTGACTCAATCCATTGTACTGATATCACAGTCAATATTTCTAGTAAGAGTAATTAATGATAACAACCATAGCACAACAATTTTTTGCTGAGTTGGTTTGTGATTCTTGTTGTAGTGTACTGACTAGTCATTATCAGCATGTCTTGGCCATGGCATTTGCTGTGAAGGAAATCAATGACAACCTCCGGATTTTACCCAATGTCACTGTGGGCTTCCACATTTGGGACAGCTACTTCAATGCAAGAGAGACTTATCGTGCTACAGTAGAACTTCTCTCAACAAAGAACAGATTGCTCCCTAACTACAACTGTGACTTCCAAAACAATATGATAGCAGTCATTGGAGGACTTGAAGCTGAAACTTCCCTCTACATAGCAAGTGTGTTAGCTATCTACAATATTCCACAGGTAGGCTGGGTATGAAGAATGTGAACTTCCACATCACATTTTGTTTACTTCCATGACTGAATGATCCTCCATCTAAAATACTTTACTGAATATTTTTAAAAGCATAATTAAGAGAAGAATAGAGCATTTAAAGGATGAATCATTGGTTCTAAACACACATGTCTCTTAAATTCAAAAGCAGGGTCTTTCCATTCCAATAAATCACTTTAATTTATCCAGGTGGGAAGCTGTGATCATTTTAAAGTTGTCCCTGCACTTCTGTTCTATTTTGCTGCTATGGGTTGACTACATTTATGACAGTACAAAATTTATTAGAGTAATAGTAATGAAGCTCACTTCATTAGATATATCCATCTACCTCCCCTTTGTGCCGTTCAACTTCCAAAAAAATGAAACCATTTTCATTTCTTCTTCATAAACAACCACAAATTGAAGCATAGATCTGGTCTTTGATTCTTTACTAGTGACCCAACTGGAAAGTGTACACTACTCTGTAGCACACAAAGAGGTATTTTGAAAACTATTCGACCTCATTCTCTAGATTTCCCTCCCAATGTTTAATCCCTATAGCTCACCTATGTCTCTGCTTCAGTAACGAATGAAAAATCATCAGGCCTTTCTGTCTACTGCATGGCCCCAAATGAAGTCAAACAATACAAGGGGATTCTCCACTTAATTCTGCATTTCAGGTGGACGTGGATTGGGCTCATTGTTGTGGATGATGAACATGGAGAAAGATTTCAGCAAGCCCTGATTCCTCTGTTTTTTCGGAATGGCATCTGTTTGGCCTTCATAGAAAAAATCCTAAAGGCTGCAACCATAGAATATTTTTTTAGTGTTATGCAAGATGGATTGAAAACACTTGATGCTGTAATGGAGAGTAAAGCCAATGCAATTGTCATTTATGGAGACACTCACACTGCCTCGTTTATTAGATCGTCTATAAAATTGTCAGAGACAGAATTCACAACAGCAAAGCATAAAGGAAAAGTGTATATTATGACCATTCAGATGGATTTTGTGTCCTATTATTATCAAAGAAACTGGGACAAACAGATCCTTCATGGTACTATATCCTTCACAGTTCACACCAATCAACCACCCGGGTTTAAGCAGTTTCTTCAGAGCAGAAAGCCTCTTATGATGGAAGGAGATGGCTTCATCAGGGATTTCTGGGAACAGGCCTTCCTCTGTCATTTCTCAGATTCACTTCTGGGGAAGCAGTTTGATAAGAATTGCACTGGGGAGGAGGATCTGGAAAGCCTTCCGGCTGATATCTTTGATATGAGTATGACTGGCCCCAGCTACAGTGTCTACAATGCTGTCTATGCTGTGGCACATGCTTTACATGCCCTGTATTCATCTTGTAATGGACCCCGAAGGATGATGGAAAGAAAGCAATGTAACTTCCTCAGTCAACCATCTTGGCAGGTAAATATCTAAGGTAGAAAGAAAACCATGCATCTGGGGACTGGAAGAGGTTGCAATCTGTATAGCAGAGTATGTCTTCAGAATCCATTCGTGAATCCATCTCGTTCTCTCCTTTGTTGACCCATTCAGCTAAAAATGCCACAATTCTTCATGCTTTAGCTTTGTTCAACATTTACTCCACAGTTCACTTTCTCAATGAGAGCAGAATACAGAGTGTCAACAAGATGTGCACTTGGCATAAATTGCATACTTCAAATATGATGGTCAAATGATGTAAGAACTTGTATGCATTTTCTTGTAGCTTATTTGATATATTTTGTTGAGTTTGAAGTAGAGAACAAATTAAAGGAAAGTGATGGATGAATGCAAAATCAAAGAGTAAAATGAGACCCATGGATATAAACACCATGTGGGCTGGAGGGTGTGGTGCGAAAGTAAACTCAGTAAGATTGAGTGGAAAAGTGGTTGCATCCAACTCTGTATCTGAATCATCCTCCCCCCAGGAGTGTATTTAATCACTATGGGGAAGTGGTCTTGCCGGTCTCATTTCTGCCCATGAAGGAACCTGGTACTTCCTCAGGCAGACCAGGTCTCGGATCTGTAAGACCCCTCTCCACGTTTCTCCTACAGTAAGCCATTTTTCTTGGGGAAGGCACCAATTAAAGATATTCCCCGCTGAAGGATTAGTATTCTAGCACTTTTAGTTGGGTCGATGCTTAAAGACTCTGCCTTGCTGTCACATTTTCTAGTTTGTTCACATTAACTGATCCATGGATGCACAAACACACTTGCAACCCATGGAGATACAGGGATCACCCACATTCTCCTCCCCTTACTTCTCCTTGATAAGCATGACTGACTAGGGAGAATGGGGGTACATAGATCAATCTACTCAAATTCAGCATGTTAGGACATTGAATGGAGAAATGAGTGCAGGCAGCATTTTGAAACAACAAAGAAATGCACAATGATCAAAAGAAAGTCCTCTAACCCTAATACTATGGTGTTGGAAAATGTCATCAAGAAACCACTGACTTATGTTAACCCTGCATGATTATTAGGGAAAG